AGAGAGAGAGAGAGAGAGAGAGAGAGAGGACGTACATACTTGCTACTCGAGACGTGCGTGTTCAAGAATAACAACAGCGACGCCATTTCCCCCGTATCCCGTGTATTTCACCTAATTGCACTCAAGTCGAGCGGAATCAAGTAATCGCGTTTCTCCTCGCCTGCCGCTGTTTTACGCGCGTAGCAAGTGACACCGAAAAAAATAAACACTCTTCGCTGGCACGTACGTACGTGTACGCACATGTACGCATTGTCGTTAAACCGCGTCCTCACTGCGAGACGGAACTGACACGACGCGTAAGTGTAAGTGTTCTCCCCAGGTGACGACTGCTTTGGGCTGTTTCGGAATTTTACAAAATTGAAAAGAGACCGTTTCAGTATTCTACCGGTTGTCGAAAATAAAAATTCGACAACAGTCGTGAGCGGGTCGGTTAATCGAAGCCGAAGATCGACGACCGGTTGATCTGTTCGCACCGGGTTACCATGTTAACTTGGTCGGCGATAAATTTTGATAATGAACAGTAGTAGCGGTGATATCATTAAATTAAGCATCGACGCGACGTCGCACACACACACTCTCTTTCTCTCTCTCTCTCTCACACACACACACACACGCACGCACGTTAATTGAGTGTTGAATGTCGTGGTGCTCCGAGGTGAATATGTTTATGTATGAGTAGGCGCAGGCGCGCGCGCCGGTGATTTATCATCGCATTATACGCCGCATTACAAATTGTCCGCCACGATACACGCGGCGTAATTATATCGGTAATTTGCGTGCCGCGTTTAATAACGCGAGGCTGCACGCGGTGTCGCGTGGCCACTTTCTCCGCGAGCTTCGTTCGTTCCTTCCTCGATTCGATTTCCCCGAACTGTATCGCGGTCGAATCGAGTACTCGACAGAAAATTATTACAATCCCGTAATCGAGACTCGAGATTAAAATCCGAGTTGAACCTCTTCGCGACAAAAAGACAGTCTCCTTGATTTTCACCGACTGACGAGAGCCGCGATTTTTCGCGATGCCCGCGGTTTTCCCTTGCATTTTCGTAAAAATTGAAGTTGACTGCCAGTGCAACGTAATTTCTACCTCGCGGAAGCAGACGGCCATTAACGTGCCATTTCGTGAGTAAAACATTGGCAGTGACAGGGCATCGCAGTCATTTTTTCCCCAAGGACGAAGTTAGAAAACTTTCCGTCCCAATACTCGTCGATGCTTCGTCTTATCATAATCTTCGTTTTATCGTTCGATCGGCAATCGATGATCGATTAAGCCGGATTAACAATTAATTATCAGCTCGGTCGAGAACTGTTGTTGCAGTGTTTTTAATCGATTGAATTGAACCGAAAGCTTGGTGTATGCGAGTTCACCGTGTCACTTGACGATCAATTTACCACCAACTGGCTTATCAATCTGACATTCTAGTAGGTAAAATACGGTTGAGCGACGCTCGCAGGTCGCCTTTGACTTTTTAATCACTGACGTCATTCAAGAGCCGACGCTCTGTGAACCTGAGACGGAAAAGGCAGATCAGACGAGAGAGATCGTTTGAAGTAGATTTTGTATCCGGCTGTTTGTACTCAGGCGACGAGGAGCTCTTGACGAAGAGAGCCGGCGAGTGTATCCTGCCGGGAGAGTGTCCAGAACCGTGCGTTTGCAACGGGGCGACCGTCGATTGTTCGAACAAGAAGCTAACGACGATACCGAGGGAACTACCCATCTACACGTCCACCCTGTGAGCACATTCTTTTATTAAGCACTACGCATCTTTCGTAATTAAATTTAATTAATTCCCACGTTGTGTCTGAAATTTCATTGGAAACAATAGCGTTCAATTGAACGTACGATGACGAGATCAAGTCGCGTTCGTCGAATCACAAACACACGTCAAATTTCATCGATCGAGAGACAACAAACATTCCTGATGCAAGCTGAATCAAATTAAATTAGATTTACCGTACCGCTATGCAATGCAAATTCAATCAAATTAAATTAGATTTAGCGTACCGCTAAAGATCAACCGATTTTCGCTCTAATTCGCGCCGTTGTAGCACGACCAACCGAGAAGAAACCAGTTCGTTAATTAATTAACAATCGGGCGGACGGAGGAAGGGGGATGGAGGGAGGGAGGGGGAACAAATAGAAAAGATCGATCCATACAGGCCGATCGTGACCGAATCGTCGATTCGGATCCCTTCCTCGTTTCCTCGTCTTCGTGCGAGAAAATTAATTTACACGGCCGGCGGCGGAGATAATTATCTGATTAAAAGCTGTTCTCCGTAGCGAAAACAGAGAGAGAGACCGGGACAATGAATCGTCGAGCCATTATTCGAAATAAATTATTCGAACTCGTTTAATGGATCGACGCCCTGTAGCGCGATTAATTGCTCGCCCCGTATCGGACGCTAACGATAGAGACTCTAACTTCCCCGTCTCCTCGGGCTTTCTTTGTCCATGCGCCTAGACTGTTGGCCAACAATGAGCTGGATAAGATCAAAGCGGACGGCCTGTTCGAGAAGTTGCCGGAGCTGCAGCATTTAGACCTCAGGAAGAACAAGATCTCGCGCATCGAGGCCTCTGCGTTCTCCGGCGCTCACAAGCTCACCGATCTGTAAGTTTCTTAAGTTTCTTTGTTTTTTTTTTTGCCCACTCCCCCTTCTTTCGTGCCTTTCCCTACGTATTTCTATCTCCCCTCGAACGATTCCCAACAGTTTGAGGAAGAAATTTCGTTCGATAAGTTACTTCGACGTAATTAAAGAGCGAAGTTTCGAAGCACTTTTTTTTTTTTTTTTTTTTT